TTTCCAATAGTTTAAAAGTATCATTTTTGTTATTTGCATTCTAGTTTTAGTTAACTTCAAAACCAACCAAACATTCGATTGCACTTAGATTAAGTTAGTACTTGCATTCTCGGTGCTTTTTAATCCCTCAGAACTGGTTCGACAATTTACTTCACTATACAACATTTGCTTTAGGAGCCTCAAAAACTCCTAACATCAGAAGGCAACTAGTCTCTAAGGTACATCACAATCTTTTCCACTAACTGATCTCATTTATTTAACCAGTTCTCTATTTTGTAACAGAATGGTATTCATATGAATAGTACAGAGGAGAAATGGATGATAGGGATCATGGTCTCTGTCACCATCATTAAGTTCTTACTCATGCTTTACTGCAGAGGATTTCAGAACGAAATTGTTAGGGCATACGCTCAGGATCACTTCTTTGACGTTGTGACAAACTCAATAGGCTTAGCAACAGCCGTTTTGGCTGTTAAATTCTACTGGTGGATTGATCCCTCTGGTGCTATTCTTGTAAGTTTTCAATCTTTTCAACTTTACTCATAGAAAAACTCATGTAACTTTGAAATAATCAAGAAATGTCTTGTGGGATAACAATAGAGCACATCTCATAAATAACATTTTTGTTTTTGGTTTTGTCACCAAAAAGCATTCAAATTTCTTTTCCAAAATAGCATTTATTAAAATTTGAAAACACTAAATATACTGAAACATCCTAAACATTAACCTTAATCTCATTTCTTAAATGCCAAACCATAAACTCTAATCACTAAACTTTAAACTCAAATATACTTATTATTTAATAAATGCTATTAAAATATTTTCTTTTTGTGATATTTTTTTACCAAAATTTTGACTTAGTGTTATTTAAGGTATTTCTTGTTACAGTAATGTTTCTTACTTTTCATGGTTGCAGATTGCTTTGTACACCATAGGAACATGGGCAAGAACCGTACTAGAGAACGTCCATTCGCTGATAGGACGCTCTGCGCCACCAGAGTTCTTGACCAAACTGACATTCTTGATATGGAACCATCACGAACAAATCAAACACATTGACACAGTTCGGGCCTACACATTTGGTTCACACTACTTTGTGGAGGTGGACATTGTTTTGCCAGAGGACATGAGACTGCAAGAGGCTCACAACATCGGGGAGACTCTTCAGGAGAAGCTCGAGCAACTTGCTGAGGTGGAACGAGCTTTTGTTCACATTGACTTTGAATTCACTCATCGTCCTGAACACAAGTGTAATTAGATTTTGACAAAAAAAATATTCAGAACGTGAATGTTACGTTAAGTAACGTTCTAGTGTTAGTTCTTTAGTTTATGTTCTCTTCACGTCGTTTTGTCTGTATTGAAATCGAATGAATGTTGTATCTTATCTTATCAAGTCTATTGTTTCTCTCATATGCAAGTGAAAACGTGCGTTGTTTGGTTAAGACTGAACGTTCTGTCGTCTTTGTTTATGGGATGCGCATTGTGTGCCGTTTTGATCTAACGCTTTGTGAATTCTTATACAAACTTTTTTTCTGAACAAAATTATACAAACTTTGTTAATATTTCATACACAAAAGTTTGGTGTAATCTTGTAATGGTTGAGTCTTGCTTTCAGTTTTGTATTCAAACACAAATAAACAAATAAGAAGTATGTGACAGAGATCAAGTAAACGAAACAGCTCTATCATCTTCCACCTCCAGGACTTCTGTTCCATGACAAGTACGATGGATCTCCAAGTTGCCTGAAACACAAATATTAATAGGCCAGAACATTATATTCATTTACAATATAACTAGTTTTGGTGACGTAGACTCTTAAAAGATTATCTATGCATTGTATTGGAGATACATACCTTGGTTTTGCTAGATACAAGACGGAGAAGAAAACAGCCAAGGACAAGCATATACTCCCAACAGTTAAATAAGCAATCCCAAGGAAGTCATTCCTTCCACCAAGCCAGCTAGTGGTAGACAGCACAAGCTTCTTCTTCCCATTGAAACTATAAGTGTTGTAGTTGTTCTGCAACAACACCTTTATGGTATCTCCAGCTTCAAGATCAGTGTCTATTTTACCATACAGCTTTCTAAATATTGGTAGAGCTGCAGTTCTCATCCACACTATTAAGTCTTCTTGCTCACTCAACTGCCAAAAAAAACATTTTTAAAAATTAACATTGTTATATAGTAAGTATCATTAGTTTCTTTTGATCAAATCAAATGCTTCACGAATATGGTTTTTTTTTATTATACGCAGTTTTCCCAAAGGTTTCCTAGACCCAAGGGACTAATCTGTGTCGCTGCATCCCGAATGTGAAATTGCAGTGGCCAGAACTAGTCGAACCCAGATGGTCGTACCTACAGCTGCAGGCCGTTTACCACCAGACTAACTCGTCTGGTTTGATTATGGTTTTTTAACAACTTAAAGCCAGTTAATAGTGATTTGATTGACTTACTGGAATCTTTGGATCGAGACTTTTACCGCCGATAGGAGATCCTTTCTGGAAATTTTTGGGGAAGACGTTTTTACCAAACTTTGAATCTCTATCACTTTTCCATGAGATATCTTTCTTATTCACAGATAGTTTTTGGTTGTTTCTAGTGAAGTCATAAGTATCATTGAACAAACTCCAAGCAACAAGGCCACAAGGAACAATAGGTTCACCACCTACTGTATCCTCTGGTGCACATGATTTCACATCATTTTCATCTTTTGCACTTCTTAATTGTCCATCTTGTCGACTTTTCACATACCTGCAATTTTCAAAATACTATATCAAAACATGTGTCCTTTAAATGAAAAATCACAAACACGAGAGTGAGATGTTACCGTCGATGATTTTGGTAATAGTTCTCAAGCTGGTAATATACATAGACAGGATTCTTCATAGTTTTAGTCACCTATCATAATGGAAAAAAAAAAGATCGTTGTTAAAGAAATGAAATGAAAAAAAAAACTATATTATGTATACCAAGATATAAAAAAGATAAAATATATACCGTTATTGTTCTGTTACACCTCTTGTCTTCTATGCCCTGTATAAACCTGACTTTGTTGTCTCTAGAGGATAATGGAATGCAGTCCGTGTCATATCGATCAATAATTTCGATGACCTTTAGTAAAATAAAGAATTATATTCACATTACTCAGAAATAAATGTAGCTGGAAAGTGAGAAAAAAAGACATAAAATAAGAAACATACACCCTGAGAAGCAAATAGACAAATCGCTCCGAGAGGGATAAAGACAACCCCCGAGAGAAGAAATGTCAGAATCACCTGCAGAAGATGATAAACAAGAATCGATAATAGTAAACATTGAAAACTGCACTCCTAAGGAATGTTTACATTGTTATTAGTTGTTGAAGCTTTACCCATTTGGGAGTAAGAATTGGTTTGCATGCTGGAAGTTCCTGTTGTGTAAATCTTGAATCTGATGAAGAAAATGTTGGCTAAATAGATAAGGTTTCTAGTTTACAAACCCTAAGAAACTTCTTGTTATACGAAGAGTAGATATAAAAAGGTATCACACAGTTTGATTTGCTGGGAGTTTTAGTCTAAAAAAACAAGAAATGGGTCTAAGCTACAGCTTGTCAAAGTTTCACATGAGATGGGATTATTAAAGATACCAAAGTAACAAGAAAAATAACAAGCAGCCATTGTGTATACATGTACTTGGATTAAATATATCTCTACACCATGTAAAAAGAAAATTTAGTTATTAGCCTAACAACATCTCTATCAAAGAATCTGAGTTTCTGACATTCTTTTTTCTATGCACACATAAATTCTCCTCGAGACGACCACATAAGGATTAATCAATTACAACAAATAAACCTAGGTACGATAGCAAAGCACACATCTATCAGATCATCCGGTAACAAAATCACGAAAAAAATATATAACCAGAAAAACGAAAAAAATGTATTAATATTTGGGGATAGAAAATCAAAGGTCACATTTTGGACGCTTTGACGTGATTTTGGCAGCAGAAGAGTCAGGAGATCCACCGCCCAAGGCAATTGAGGACGTTGCAGAGAAGCTCATTACGAAGAAACTATTTGGCTATAAGAAAAAAATTATCTCGATAAACTTTCAAAAGAAAAATAATTATGTTTTTTTAACGTTTTTGCTGGTTTGAATTTGAGTTTTTCGGATATCCGCAAAAGTAGTCTAACCGAATTATAAGTTTTCCTATTGAGATTTCTTCACTCATATGACCAAATTAATTATTGAACCGGAATTTACACATGTGTAGTGTTATTTATAGGGCTGGGCAAAAAAAACCGAACCCGAAAATCCGAACCGAATCCGACCCGATAAAAAAGAATCTGAACCGATCCGAACCCGACATAAGTACCGAAGGGATCTTGTTTTACGGTATTTCGGGTTATGGGTATTACCCGAACCGAACCCGAACTTAAATGGATATCCGAAAGAACCCGAAACTTTAAAATTCTAAAAAAACTTATATTATATCCAATCTAAATTTCTAATATGTTTCCAAAACAGATTAATATATTATTGAGTACCTACAACAATTAGTTATGATATAAATAATTAGTTCAAATATTTAGTCTAATATATAGTGTTATTTGGTTAATATTAATGTTTATGATTGACATTACATTTAAAGTTAAGTTACGAATAAATTTGTTTTGAAGTTTATATAATGTTCTTTTTTAAAGTTTAAATAGTACTTCTTATGTTTATAGAATTGTTAGTTGTTAACTTTAATTTTTTATGTTTCATTATGTATTATATTTCGTTCATACAAGGTTTTGGTTTGTCATTAATCATGATATGTTTAGTGTTGTCACATATAGTTCAATGACAAATCTTATATGGTTGATAGATGAGTTTCACAATATTATTTTGAAGGAGAACAATATGGTTTGTAGAAGCTAAATACACAAATTNTTTCATTATGTATTATATTTCGTTCATACAAGGTTTTGGTTTGTCATTAATCATGATATGTTTAGTGTTGTCACATATAGTTCAATGACAAATCTTATATGGTTGATAGATGAGTTTCACAATATTATTTTGAAGGAGAACAATATGGTTTGTAGAAGCTAAATACACAAATTTAATAAAATGATTGAAAATATAGTGAATTTAATTGAGTATAAATTAGTATTTTTATAACCGATAACCCGATTAGTATCCGAAACCGAAACTATTTCGGGTTCAGCCGGATCTTGGACGTGTTACTAAACCCGAACCGAATCCGACTAAACCCAAACCGAATCCGACCCGAATTTTTATAATATCCGAATGGGGCTGAAATTTATGAACCCGAAAACCCGAAACCCGAATGAACCCGAACCGAAACCCGATTGGGACCCCGATTGCCCAGTCCTAGTTATTTACAACAACCACCATTTTAGATATGCAAATAATCGTGTAGAGAAAACATGTACGTTACTTGAATACTCAAATAAAAAAAATATAACATTTCAATTAATTTTTTAAAAATCACACGAAAAGTAAAACTATACCATAAAAAAAAAGCCTAACGAATTTCATGTTTTTAGCAAATAAACGGTTTATTAACATAACGGTCATGACAATACAATCCTGGCCGTTGACTAAACCTCTGTCTTTTGAGAATCTCTCTAGCTCTCAAAACCATCTCTTTGTTCGTTATCTCCTTTCTCGTCTCCGACAATATTGTCTGAATCGCATCACTAAATGCTCCATATGCTTTTCCAGTTCTCGTCACGAAAACATCCTCTGATCTTTGATCTGTCTGACACCCACTCAACAAAATACCGTTGCTCGGAACCTTACTTTTAACTTCAGATACTGCACCATCCGTATTATTAACCTCACGCTTACTTATAAAAATACCAAGAATCCCTCTGTCACCATTTCTTTTCATCGAATTAGAGAGAATAACATTCGGACTCGAGTCTTGGCCAAATACTTTAACAAGTGTTTCTCTGATTTTCCCGTACTTGATATCGGTTTGTCCGGTTTGTTCCTTGAGAAGACTTATGTAGCTGTCGAGAGGTAGATATCTTGTTTTCATATCGACCGTCTCACCGTCCTCTAACTCGATCTCTCTAGTGAAACTATCTTGGCCTCCTCCACTACTTTCTCTTTGATGATCATTCGAGATCCCACATGTCGTTAGCATGGTTCTCACAATGCTAACCAAGAAATTAACAATCTTGGATTTTGGTTTATTCACGTGGCTTTCACCTATCTGTTCCTTTACTTCCTCTATGAGTCCACCGCTGTGACAAGAGTCCGAGATTATTGTTAGAAGACATCCTTTTTTTACCTCTGCCACCATGTCTCTAAACTCATCGTCTACAACACACATTTTTTTTGGCAAGAAGATGATTATTATAAAACCGTAAAACAATCTAAAACACCAATACAGTTATATGTTACAAGAAAGAAGATTCAAGGTGTGTCAAGATCGCGAATAGAGACGTAACGTATTGCTCAAGTTTCGATAACAGAGAGGAAAAGCAGAGTACTCTGCTTTTCAAAACAGAATATTCTAACTCACAAACTCTGCTTTTGAGAAACAGAGTATTCTAACTCATCAACTCTGCTTTTCAAAAACAGAGTATTCTAACTCCAAATTTTAGCAAAAAAAAAACTCTGCTTTTCAAAGAAGTCCTAAAAGGTGAAATAAGTCAATAACACACATAAATAAAGTCGAACCCTTTAAAAAAGGGCACGTACCCATTATAAGATTCATATCGCAAGGAGTGATACATTCATCATAATTTGTTGCGTCGAATATGCCTTGCTCCGTTGGTAGTCTCGTGCCATGTCCACTGTAATGAAACACCAAAACATCACCAGCTTCTCCTTCAGCGATGAGTTTCTTGAGAGCCTCGCGGATGTTCTTGCCCGTGGGTTGGATGCTTGATTTGTCTGTGTCGATCAGTACCGTTATGTCCTTGTTGGAGAAACCGTAACGGTCGATGAGACATCTCTGCATCCGACGGACGTCGTTGACACAACCACGTAGCTCCACGGCGGTTCCAGGGTAGTTAATGCCGATCAAAAGCGCTTTCTTTGCCATTGACGAATGAATAAACTATTGCCTTTGTGTTGGTCTTATGGGGAGAAGAGTCTCCACTTTTGTTTATTTCATTCTAAGAATTGAATCGATTCAGGTTATTATTAATAAACGAATGATTTAGCATTTAACTAATGACCAATGGTCCAGTAAAGATTAGCATTCTTGTATTTTCCTCTTCGTTAGGTGCTGTTAGTGGCCTTTCGGTTTCACTTTATATTTCTTTGGTCTTTCTTTAATGTCAGATACACATAAGTGAGTGATTTATAGATCTAACTTTTGTATTAAGAAAACTTACAAACATGGTTATTTCTTAATGGCTGAGGTTTTCTGTCCGAATATTCATACATCTTTTATGGCAGAATCTAAACTATACTTCTTCCGTTTCAAATGTCGTATAAGCTTCATGCAGATTAAGAAAATAGTTCAATATTTAATTTATCTTTATTCAATTATTAAAATTGAAAAGAATTCTTTGTTTTTCTTAATTTAATTATGAGCAAAAGAGACAAATTAATATAATAAATTAATTTACAGTTATTTAGTTATTAAAATTCAAAAGCATTCATTGTTTTCTTAATTTAATTAGAAACAAAAATAAATTAATACTATTAAAACTACATTGAAATAATAGAAGGATGCTTATTTTGTAATGAAATTTTTATTCTACGGCAATATTTAATTTGAAACAGTGAATATATTAAATTAAGTTTTAATGGTTCTCAATAAAAATTGAATATTTCTTCTGCTTCACAAAGAGTGTCGTTTGATTTTTTTCCTCATTACACAAATAATGTTATTTTTAAAATTTATTGCAATTTATACTTATTTTACGTTTAATATTAATTATAAAATGTATTAATTTTATAAATACTTTTATTTATCTCAAATATTAAAGCATTGATTAGTAAGAATATAATTACATTTTAGTTTTTTCAATCTTTGTGAAAAATATTAAAGTGTTATTTTTTCGTGAAATGTAGGGAATATTTATGATTAACGAGTTTTATCTACATTTTTGTAACAAAGAGATTTGTCTACTTTTTTTTTTGTAACAAAGAGTTTTATCTGCTAAACCAACTCCTGGTTGGTCAATTATTTAGCAAAAAAAAAAAAAAACTCCTGCTAACATGCGAGCTATTATGCTGATATCATTTGGATAACAGTACGGGGCGGCCGGTTTAATACTAGTTATTAATATCTGCGTAGATTTTATTTCCTTAATAAAGAGTTGACACCATCTATTCTATCTAGTATTCCACCTTGTAAGTTACCTATCTCAAGTCAGTGTATTAATGCGCTTCTTATGATTTATGAGACTAATTTAAGCTCTTTAGGTTTTGGTATCAGTTCAATATTTAAGTGATCTTTTTTATTTTGAATCTATCCTTATCGTGTTTGTTGAACGGTGTCTTTTAGGCATATGGATTACAAAAATTACATAGATTCTTTGTTTCAAAGTTTAAGGTACCATGTAATTTGAAATATAATTTAACTATTGTTTTGACTGGATTAAGTGAGTTAATTTAATGATGGTAGATTCAAGCAGCTGATTCTCTTTTTGGATCTCGTCCGCCAGTCTTGAAGAGCTTGTGTCTCACTATTACTCTTCTACTCAGAGGTTTGACTGATCTTGACATGTAAGTGTTTTTAAAAATCCGGATGAAAAGCACTGCTGGGTGTTCTTATTTCTATAGCCCAAATCTTTAGGCCACTACTAATAATCTGTTCAAATTCTAGTATAAAATGGCTGTAAATTCTAAGCTATTTTATTCAAACATTTTTTCATCTCTGTGCCAAAGCAGATACTAAAAAGTATGCAACATTTGTTCAAACTACTCAATGGAAACCGTAGTCATACTATTCAAGTTAAATACTAGCTATTAATAATCCTTTTTAAGATCACGACGTGCTCACCAATCTTCCTTGACAATTAACTTTTGTGATATTCGTGACAACAAGTAGTGTCAGAGAGCAAAGATACAGAAAACCAAGCAATAAATCTCAACAACAATCACGCAAAGATAAGGAGAAGCAAATTTGATCAAAAGAAAGAGAAGGTTTAAGAACATTTAGTAAAAACAGAGCCGTCTATGAATATGATCATCATTCATCAATCAAAACAATCGCCATATTCACACAACAAATGATGTGCAAGAAAAGAAAAAAAAATCCAACAAAACGTATAAAGAAACGAGGTCGTTTCATATTCATTTTTATGAGCCCACGTATAGCTTATTGGGCCGAAAAATCATACTCGAGAGTTGAGTAGATCGAAGCTTCGTTTTATCGTTTGAAACGCTCTGCAATGGCGGCTGGGTTCTTCCGAGCAGAGATGTTAATGTTATCCTCTACGTTGGCGCGCTCATACTCTATTCCCTTCCGCAAAACGCTAATGTCCTTCAACTTTCGAATTGCAATGCAAAGAAACCATTTTTCCAGAATTCGACGATCTCGTGTTGCTGCTTTCAGCTCATCGCCTCCTTCTCATTCACGAAACTTTCCACTTCCAGGTCAAATTCCTGATATTGGGTTACTAAAAAAATCTAAACTTGGAATGAAAATAGCGTTCACGTGCTTTAAAAAGTTCGTCTTTAACATTTTACCAAAAAAAAAAAAAAAAAAAAAAAAAAAAAAAGTTCGTCTTTTTTTTTTTTTTTTTCAGGGGTAGAGGATGTCTTTGTTGGTTATCTATTTGGTAGGAAGAAGGCAACGGAAGTAGCTCATGTGTGAGTACTAGCTTTAAAACCCACTAACTTAAAACTAGTTTTGTTCATTTGAGCTTAGTGTTATTTAGTTATTATCTTTTTATAGTGTGTGGGAGAAGGTAATCCAAAAGGGAGATATGGTTGTTGATGCTACATGTGGAAATGGCAACGATACTTTAGCAATGTTGAAGATGGTTACTGATGATTCTGATGGTTCTGGTGGCTGTGTCTATGCATTGGACATTCAGAAAGATGCCATTGAGAGTACTTCTTCTTTGCTAGATCAAACCCTTGGTTCCAAAGAGGTTAGATTAGATGATTTACAAACCTCAAAGCTTCTATTGCAATGTGGTTTCTTACTGATAAAGAGTCTTATTTCATTTCTGATGAAGGAATGTAGAAGGAACGTGTCAAGCTCTTTAACATCTGTCATAGTAAGATGGAAGAAATTGTTCCTGAAAACTCTAGTGTGAGGTACATTTTATATTTTATGACCTGATGCAGCAACGTTTTTGATGCATTCATGGCGGCATTTTGATGAATGCAATCTTGTTTATCAAATTAGGATGGTTGCATTCAATCTGGGGTATCTTCCAGGTGGAAACAAGTCAATAATCACTGTCTCGAATACAACACTGAAGGCACTGGAGGCTGCTGAGAGAGTCTTAATGCCAGGTGGACTCATAAGCTTGATAGTTTACATTGGTCATACTGGTGGAAGGTAATGAAAAAAAAATAGAGCTCACATGATCTAATAAGGTGAAATCTGAAGTTTATTTTGATCCACTTTTGTTGTTGTTTAGGGAAGAGTTAGAAGTGGTTGAAGCTTTTGGGTCAAGTTTACCGGTCAGTGATTGGGTCTGCTGCAAATTCCAAATGTTGAACCGGCCGTTAGCACCTGTTCTTGTTTTCATGTTCAAGAGAGAAAAATGATTATTTTAGATCTACAAAAGCTTTGTGTGCATCTACATTGTAGATTCTACATCATCGGTCACTTGCATGGTTTGTTCTTATTAAAGTTGTAACTTATAACCTCAAGAGTTCTTTTTTGTTAGTATACGATATGAAGCTGCTTCACCTTTTTTGGAGATTCCCCCACAAGATTTGGGGAAATAGTAACGATGAGGAAAAACATTATAACAAATAAAAAAAGACGACCACGGTGGGACTCGAACCCACAATCTCCCGCTCCGGAGGCGAGCGCCTTATCCATTAGGCCACGCGGTCTTTATGATTGTTAGATAGAGTTTTGTTGAAGTACTTAATAAGGGACCTAAGAAACAGAAAAGACATTACACAATGCCATGTCCAAATCTAATGAACACATCTTGACTGAATCACTCACATAATTGCAAATGCTGATTATTTGCACTTACAATCCCAGAGCAAGCCTATATATCTTTTTTATAGAACCAGAATCAGTTTGCCATTCCACGTCCTTGGGACGTCAAATTATCAGACAGGTTAAGACACGTGACATTATGTCATCTAACTCTCTTGCTGTGCCATATGCAAAAATGGTAATAAAAGCTAAACCTTAAAGCGAAGAAAACGTTTTAGGGTAAGTTCCTCTGTTTTTTTTTGGTAAAAGGTAACTTCCTCTGTTATTCAAGAAAACATATCTTTCCTTTTCTTAAAGTTTTCATTTCTTGGCTGTGAGAACAAAACTTCATGTAGTTGTGAAAAGGACTCAAGCGTTCTTTGTATGGTTGTATTTAGAAATCTTAGCTGCTGAATCAGTTCCAAGACAGTAACAATTAATCTTACTCAACCTGATGGTTGCTATCTGAAAGGTATTATTCCATCTCAAACCACGTTTGCTAGTGGTTACTTGGTTTCAATACAAAGCAATCTTTTGGCTCTGTAATTTCTACGTTTCTTTGCTATTACTACTACATGCACCTACCAAGAATTTTAACTCTATTGTACATCTTCATTGAGGATAATTAGTAAAATGAGTTCATTTATGGCTTCATTAATGATTTATCAGAAGCTCATAACTCTCCAAGAGTGATGGGAACGGTGAATCTTCTTTAGCTTCATTATGCTGTTGATGTTGTTGTTGGCAATCGTCTTCTTCTAAACCGAGTTCGCTTTCCAGGTTCTTGAACCATTTGTCAACTTCATCTACTTCAGATTCTTGATGAGCCTTTGGAGTCAAACTGTTCTCAGGTTGTTGGAAACCATCTATGAAATTCCATACGTCAGGATCTATATCAAAAGGCATCTCCAGCAGCTCTGGTTTGTCTACCTCTTGTAGCATCCCCGTGAAGTCGCTAAAATCTTGAAAATAATCAAACGTTTCACCTCTCTGTACATCATCATCCTCTTTGCTAACATTGTTGGAACCACCACAAGACCTAGAGGCATTCGGAGATGACTCTTGAGACATCTCTTCTCTGTTCAAAGAACCTTTTGTTTCTGCTTCATCTTTGGAACTCAATCTTTTCTTGAGATGTGTATGCCACACATTCTTGATTTCATTGTCTGTTCTTCCTGGCAGTTTAGAAGCAATCTTGGACCACCTGAATCCAAAAAATGCAGAAAACCTATTGTCAAAATCAGAAACATAGAGAGGCACACAATTATATTAATTAATTATTACAAGATATAAAACAGACTTGTTCCCAAAGCTCTGGTGGAGTTTAATGATGGTTTCTTCTTCCTCTAAGGTGAAATTGCCACGTTTCAGATCAGGCCTGAGGTAGTTAATCCATCGAAGACGACAACTCTTGCCACACCTCAACAATCCTTCATTGCATGCATAGAAAGACAGACATAAGAATCAAAGAGATTTAGGAATGCTCAAGGAAGAGGCTGTAAGATCAGAGACATTACCAGCTTGAATGGGGAGAGATCTCCAATTCTCATGACCATATTTGTGAATGAAAGAGATGAGTTTCAAGTCTTCATCATGGCTCCATGGTCCCCTCTTCACTTTGGTTTTGTCACAACATGGAGCTCTGCCTTTGCCCATTCTCTCTCTCTCTCTCTCACTCTGTCTTTTCCCTCTCACACACTTTTGAGATTCCTTTCTACCAAATCTAATTGGTAATATGTGTATTTATACAAGGAAGTGGTGTGTGACCTGACAATGAGAAATATGTTAGAAGAAAAGACAATGACAATTGTCAAATCAGATTTGATTAAGTTTAAAACTTGTCTATATTGTAGGTGGAGTATCTGGCGTGATTCCTTCTTTTCTAATATATACTTCCATTTATGTCATAATAAATACTTTTTTTTTTGAAAAATATTATTTCACAATGAAACATATACATATTTGAAACTTCAATATCTGAGTTTCACATTCTCTAATCAAATCTGAAACATCTAAAAATGCCTCTGAAACATCTACATATTGAAGACATCTTTTTTTATATCAAAGATATCTATACTCCCAAATATATTATTAGGTTTATCCTTGTGATAATTATTACTGCGTACAAAAATTGACTAGCGCAAAACATTAGTTAAATTTTGTTCAAAAAAAAACATTAGTCAATAACTTAATCTTATTAGTTTATGGTTAAAACTTTGATATTTGACTATGATCATTAAGTCTCTTTGGCTACACCAACTTTTGAAAAATGGTTCTAACGAAAAAGAAAAAATATTGGTAAACTGACACAATTCATAAAATAAAACTTGACTCATATTTATTTTTTTTCTCTATACTTTTATTATTAATCTGCCAAACAAGACGTAAGGATGCTCTCACCTTTAGTCTGCGGTCTCATATTAGGGAATGTACTATTATGTAAAGTTGAATAAATCATTTGTTTCAGTAAAAATAGAAGTACTGAAGGTGAATGAGTAAATAAAATTCTGTGACTCTCGTATGTATGTTTTATTTTGCAAAAGGAAAAAGAGAACTACGTCTAACAGATAAAACCTTTTATCAAATCCGTAAATAAGGAAATCCAATCAACTGATAAAATTATAAGTTCGTTCAAAATGATGCTATTTACATATATTTTGTATCAGAAAGACAGAAACGATTACTTAATTCGTTAACGAACAACTTACAATAAAACATCGTTAAAATTGTCTTTATCGTATCAACTTTATATTTTGTATACAGTAATGAATTTTGCAATAATTTTGTTTTTAAAAATTGTAGAATAAATATATGATTTCGAACTGAAAATAAACTGTTTTCTTGATGAAAAAATACCAAAAATTATCTTAACATACAAACAAAATAAATTACAATCAAAATACATCCACTTTAATACTTTTTATTTATTTATTTCGTATGTGATCGAGGTGTTGTAGATCAAATCTCAAATACAAATTTACGAAGCATGTAACGAGGTAGATATTATTGCCGTTTAAAATTATACTTACCAACCATGCTTGCACCTGCATAGTAAAAATGTTTTAGGGCATTATTTTTTCAATTCTAAAATGATCCTTTCAAGTTTCAACACTACATCACCATGAATATTGGTTTACCTGTAAAATCAATGGAAACATATTTGCACCAACCGCTTACTTAACTAGTTAACTTACAGTTTGTATTCATCTCCCACAGCTAGCAAAGGACTTGAGTTTGATTCCAAATCAACTTTGAGGTTATGATTTATATTTATTTGAGTCAATACCAAACAAGATATCACCGAACGCATGCTTACGTTACGTTAACAATATACTTGGTCATCGGAGTGTACTCAAGAAATTGAATCTGTCATGTCTACAGTTCCTGTATTTATTTAAAATCTAAAATAAACCGAAAACGATTAACAATATTTAAATTGGCTCACTATAGCATTGGAATGCATGGTTACTAAAGTTAGAATTATTATAGGCTGCATTTGTTTGGTGAACAACTTACGAAAATGTTATTTAAAGTTGAATCAATTAGGTTCCAGTGACAGAGAAATTTTAGTAAACTAAGTTGAATAAAATGGAATAAGGTTGAAACGTAACAATCGATGACGAGCGGAAGAAAATAAAATCAGGTAATTGAGAAAGATTGGAATTTGCATGACGAAAGCACACGTGTTGCTATTGGTATGCCTTTTTCTTAGTCTACAGTTTTGGTTCGGCTGCCCATTTCTTTAAGAAATAGCATACAACAAGTACAATAAAAATTGTAGTACATTTTTTTATTAAGGTGTGACTGAATAATCCACCTTCGATTTTTGAATGTGTGCCACTAGACGCTATCTAGTGACAAGGAATTCTGAACGTATATGTACAATACAAGCATTTGGTTTTAAAGCTATGTCAGAATATTAAGCAAATGAAGAAATGTGCCACACCAAACTAATTATATGTCAGAATGTATAAAATTAGTTCAATTTGCTAATTTTTTAACAATTTAATCCACTATTCAATGACTTAAACACACTGTTCCCTTTAGACTTTCAAAGTATTGAATGCGCAAGCCATGTTTCTAAATTGATCACACCGTTTTTTCCTACAAATATACTTAACTACTCTCAGAACTAAAATATGAAGTGGACTGCTTTAAAAAATAAAGCCACTGGTCCATAATATGAGATTATGAGGACTGACCTCACCTTTTCCCTATATTTTACAGAAACTTTATACATACATTTAGGGGTGTATTTGATAAAAAAAAAACATATAGAGGATGTATTAGTTTGGTTAATGTCCACACTTTTAAAGTTTAAACAAGACTTTGGTTGTGTTCAAAAAAAAAAAAAAACAAGACTTTGGTTACTAACAGAATACTTTGGGCAAAACAGAAGCGGTATATATATATTGGTTTGCCTTGCGTCCAGTAAAAAGAGGAACGAGAAATGCATCACTTTTAGTCTAATACAATTCATATTGGTCTAAATCATTTAACGTCAAAATCATACTTACTGACTTTTGTTTTTAACAATTGTTTAGTTGAACAAGTTATGTGTATGTTCACATGAGAAACCAACTATATATTAACTATTTGAATGTGTATCAATAGAAGATCTTTAACATAAATACCAGTTCTAAGAAAAATATTTTAAACATAAATAATTCATGCAAAAAAAAAAAAAATTGGATGTCTCTATTTGTACTTTAATAGTAAGCTAAGAAAGCACGCACGCATTGTTTATATTTTGGTACGTCACGTCCAATTCTATAAGTTTAGAATAATCTAGGAAGTTCACATGTTGAATGTTATATATATACACAAAAATATATAGTTGGTTAAAATGGATGTGCATGCTCATGTTTTTTTTTTCTTAATTTCTGACTTTATAATGACAAGCTACGCTACGTCGTGACCAAAAGTATGTAATGATAATACATAATTTAGATGACAGGTGATTAGTTTAGATTTGGATATGCTGAGTCAGGTCTTAATTAGTTTATTATATGTGACTGAACAAAATTATAGGTGGTTGATGTTACCAAATCATTACATGACGATGTGTTCGATAAATTGAAAACAATGATGGAATTTACAAAGTGACCCCATTATAGGGTACCTAATCTTGGAAATATATAACTCATTTTCTAAACTATAGTATGTGAGTTGGTTGGTAGAATATTTGCTTAATAGTGATGGCTTTTTCAGTGAGTCATGACTACCTAACTAATCACTCATAAGGTCCAAGCACAGGATTCATAAATTTATAATCCAAAAAATAAATGCATAAATTAGTAAAGAAAATAGGTAAGTGGTGGATTTAGAAAGAATTAGACGATCACATTACATGTGCATGACGCACCGTTTGTTTACAAAGGGTTAAGTACTATTATTTATTTATTTTAATCTTGCCTAGTTAAACATGTACGGTAACAGTACATCTATTAACAAAATCTCATACTAAAAAGTTGAATTCAACTAATGTTTTTTGTGGTAAATTTATATTGTGATATTTTTCAGCAACAAAGAAGAACACGAGGTATTTGATGAAGTTAGAAAAAATGGTTTTCAGTCATTACATATATGTGGATACCATATGGCTAGGCTGTGTTTTACATTTCATGGGCTTGTAATACGCTGTATGTGTGCCCTTTTTAGCCTAAGCCCAGCCTATGAGTTTGTGAGTGTGTCTTATTTTCAGTCGATGTAAACTGCTATATAGCAGCCGTGGGCCGGTGGTGACGGTGACGGTGACTGCAATATACAGTCAACCAAACCTAAAATATACTTCAACGTCTATACATTAAATGATTAAAAGGCCATCCAAATATTTTGGTGAAGAAACATTCAACATCGTGTGGATTGCAAGCAAATAAAACAAAATAAATAATTAAATTAACCATATTTAGTACATAAAGAAAAGTGTCTGTTTTTGGAAGAAAAATAATCGAAGGCACAGTTTGAATAAACAAAACAAAATTTGAAAAGTTAGTTGCTGCTGGAGAATCGATCTCAGGCTGCTGCAACTTCCTTCTGGCCTCGAAAATTAAGGTTTTCAGATGCATTTTACAACAATTAAAGTTCACTTTTCTCAAAAAAGAAAATTGCCGTATTAATAAACCTTACCAATCTCCCATTAAAATGCATTCAAATCCCAAGACTAGTGTTGTTACCACTAATAAATATCTGTCCAGTTTAATTATACAAGTATACTATTATATGGGTCACCCACTCACCCAATATACAATTAAGGCCCTAGCCTTCTCTAGTTAGGAGTAGTTCCCCCAAAAATGTACATACTGTACTAACCTCATCAAGAAATTAGGCAATAAAATAAACGTCTTGTTGGTGAAATTCTTCATTTGTTAAAGAAAAAAAAACTACTCCAAGTAAAATCCCTCCCTTTCATGTCGAAATAGTTATAGAGATTTTTTAGTTGTTTAGTTTATAGTGTATCTTATAGTATCAAACCGTTAACTAATGTTAAAAACATGATACGGTCCACACATATGTATTTTGAACAGTACTATGTTACGGTTGAAAATTTATGAGCTTTAGTTGTACTGGTGTCCTGAGAAATGGGAATATCATACGTGAGGGCATCATCACTTCCTTACCTGTTAAAACATTTATTTACTTTAACGTTTTGAACGTTATTATTTAAAGCTCTTGAATGCTAAAACCACCCTTTTTCTTATACGAACTTCCACTTGATTAATTATCCATCCCATCAACATATTTTCGCAATTTTACTTCTTTCTATTGCTTACACTCTTCTAAGTAAAGCAAAAATGTTGTCAAATAGCAACTAACGGTACGCATTCTACCGAAGTTTAAGGAAGTTCCCTATTCGGTTAGCTTGCTGAGCACATATTCCAGTAAATTAAAAAGAGACCTTATACACAAAGAACGTAAACTCGTTGTAAAGTGAAATTACAAGTTATTTATTTATGGTTATAAAGAGTACTGATATCGATTTATAACTAGTTGAAAACAAAAGTTGATGATTCAATTAGTTGGATGAACGAAAAAGTTCGTTGCCACGCCTTCCGACGAAAACCCACGTAATACGTAGCTTGTGTCCCAACGAGTTTAAGACACGTTACATTAGACCATATGCAACAATGGTTCTTAACACAAATCCTTAAGAAAAAGATTAATATAAAATTATGTAGGCTCCACTTCATTTATGTTTTTGTGCCAACAAACATTCTTAAACTCCTTAGCTAAGGATTAGATTTGTTGAATCTCTAAACTATTTATGGGCTCCACTTAAATAATTTGAAGATGTGATTGGTCAGTTCTTTTTTTTTTTTCTTTTTTTTTTTAAATCTGAAAAAAATAAAATAAAATAATCATAACTACTATTTTTAAGGATTTGTGCCTTGAGTACATGGTTGCTGATGCCCTTACATCTTATGAACACTCTCTTCAAGTTTAAGAAATCAGATAGATGTTGACAAAAACTTACGAAAAAAACCACAGTTAGAAATCAAACTTGCGAAATTTGACTAAATTGTTAACTATTGTTTCATCCTAGTATTCTTGTTATGTGGCTGTGTTACTATTTAAATTTCTATCAACATATTATGTGCTTTTGCAAAAATAAAACTTACTACTATAAATTTTGTATTACATAGATTACTATATTGAAGATAGGATTCTATTTAAATTCTAATACTACATACTGTTGAATTTGACTCTATCACATTTACGAAAAATATTAAATTTAAAACTTAACAAAACAATACAAATTAAATTGAAATCCGAATTTAAACCCTAAATTTCTGATAATTAATACAATTTTAAAACCATACTATAAACGACTAAACCCAAAACATAATCTTAATCCTTAAAATTAAATTCTTGCACTATCCACAATCCCTTTTAAATTATTTGAGAAGCATTATTAATATTTAACCTTTACCTCATGTGTTATTAACAAGAATGCCATTTCCTATGTGGCAACACCACAATCAATCTCACACCATATATTTAAAGACCCTTTTTTTACTAGATTAATTACATATATTACCATTGTTCATTTAATTGTAACTTAAAATGATATATTATATGCTTCCTAATTCGCCGGATCTCCTCTTAAGCATTTTTATCTCATACCGGTTTAGTTATTAGAGTCACGAAACCTGTTTAGTATATTCTCAAAAAATTATGATTTATCGTAGACCAATTTTCAGTATATACAAACATTATTTTCTCAGCTCGAGGAGCTCTCCAACCCCTTTTTCACTATATGATAATTTTTACACAGAATCGTATTAGCATGATATGGTGGCCATTTGTTGATTAAACATAACCAATATTGATTATAATAAGTTAACCATTAGTATCTCGGCAAGAGTTGATCTCTTTGTATTCTATCGGCATATTACATAAGATCATGACAACAATAATAGCATGCTTACAGACCACTATAATGTCTTCTACGAAACTATCATGTATACAAACTACTAAAATCAAAATGGCATTATATTGTTATCATCGGTTTATCATATTCCTAGAAGAAATATAAGAATCCATGGACCAATTTTGAAAATAATGATACAAACATTAATCTTTTCAGCATGAGAAGCTTTTCAACTCCTTTTCGACTATATGATTATTTTTACATACAATTGTATTAGCATAATATAGTGGCCATTTTTAGAATAATAGTACAAACATTACTTTCTCAGAACGAGCAGTTCAGTTTAACAAACTGAATTTGATTTTAGCAAACCAAATTTAATTGAGTTCGTCAATGTATAAATAGTATGAGATTCTATGCGCAGCATTTAAGAGTGGATATTTCCTTATTATTGATTGTATATATATATTCATTTTGGTAGGTGTAAAATTGCTATGACAAATATTGTTTCCTAAATTATATAGTTTTAAATTCTAATGCATTTTTTTAGCAAGACAATTCATTTAATATGGCGATTACAACTATTCTTTCCTTAGTTTTGGNATATATATATTCATTTTGGTAGGTGTAAAATTGCTATGACAAATATTGTTTCCTAAATTATATAGTTTTAAATTCTAATGCATTTTTTTAGCAAGACAATTCATTTAATATGGCGATTACAACTATTCTTTCCTTAGTTTTGGTCAAACCCATAAATTTTGTATAGCTAATGGATTTACAATTGCAATCATTAATGTACTTTTTTTTTTGCAATCATTAATGTACAATTTTATATATTCTTTAAGCGTTAATATAATGAACACTTAAATTTATAATTTTAATCAAATATATATTGTATATTTAAGCACCCAAACATGTAAGACACATTAATATATATAGTGTTAATATAATGACCAATCAAATCCCCTATATATTAATCTTGGAGCATTGAAACATTTAAGTGTAGTCATGTGTCATCACTAGGACCACTTTTAGAATCTTTAGAAATGTATGTTAGCCCATCTAAGTATAAAATATATTTTATATTAAATTAACTATCAAAATGATTTATAGTGAATAAAGAATATTCTTCATTATTTACTTAAGTAAAACCTACGGAATTACCTAATATGATTAATATATATATAAAAATAATGATTTTAAATAATAAAGATTTGATAATAGTTTTTGTATCCTCCATCATTTTTGTTTAATTTATATTATTAAAAAAATAAACAATCACATTAACCATATAATAAAAAAAATTATACTTTTTTTCTTATATGTTATATTTAAAAAACGGCTATAAATTACAAAATTTACTATAAGTCTTAAAATGAAAATTTTGTGAACAATTGTTTTATTTTTTTGTTATAACAATATAGAAATCTTACATAATCTTATAACATTACAACATGTTTTCGTAACCACGTGTCATCATCGGGATAATTCTCAAAAATATGTAATTTTTAATATGTTATTTGTTCCTGACAATCCGCGAATTACACTTCTTCAAATCGAAGTGATTTTTAATACTTAAATTAGATTTACGAATAATTAAAATGTTTTAACAATTTTTGTCCATTTTGAGGTTTCAAAAATATTTTTTGGGACGATTTCAGATTTTGGTTAAATCCGGAAGGAACCGAACCGAAACCGATACGTAATCGATCTGATAATTAGTAAAACCTAAATGAATCTGAAAAGCATAATACCAAAAATTTGAAATTCGAATCAATAGAACCAAAACCGATGAATCCTCGGCTCAAGATATATTTAAGAGATTAACATTTGTATTCATTATTTTAAAATCGATAAAGATTATAGTGTTACAAAATGTTAAAACCGAACAAACATTCATATAAAAAATTCACCCCGCGCATGCGCGCGGGTATCACCTAGTATAAACTAAATGGTATGTTTCTCAGTATTAAAAGAACATTTATATATTTTCTTGATTCTTCTTACACTATCAATTAACTATAGCCGAAATAGGTATGGAGCACCAAAAAGAACATAGTTAAATACCGTAAAGCCGATAATGGAGATAAATACTTTAAAGAAACAGTATGTAATTTGCTTTAAATAAGGTATCTGCTTGTAGTTAATAAGATTTTAGAAATCGAAGAAATGTACTTTAACCTATAGAATTGACCATAATACGAATGCTCAAAACCTCACTCATAGCAATACCTACTTCATTAAATATCTTTGACGTGCCCAATACAACAAAAGACGAAACTGCATTAAACATATACTCCGATGTCTACTCATCAATGCGTAGTTAATTAATTAAGTGTGAAACTTCAAATTTAGGACTTGAAAATATGATAAGTGAGGAGGAACATAAGGGGTAAATATGCAAATTAGAGAAGCTGAATCTACGTGGAGTTTCCATGCACTTAATGCGTTCTTCTTCGCATTTACTACACTTTGTGTTTGCTTCCTCCTTGAATTCCTCCCTACATAATCTATTTATTTATTCATTTAGTTGTGTATTGTAATAAAGAGGTAAAAAAAACGTACATGATCACCATCATAAAATATTAAAATCTTGAAATGTCCAAGAGTATCTAGCCTTGCATGCTTATGCATGAATTTGTTCGAATCTTCAAGTTGTCAATTACACAAGAAGAGTTGAATCTTTCACGGTGAAAAACAAGAATTATTTGCATAACGTAAATTAATTTTCATGCAGACAATTAAATATTAATTGACACAAATTGAATGGCTTTAAATTTGCTATAACCGGCCACGTTAACTTGAGACTCATTTTTCCTCCGTCTCCATCTATATAACTCTCTCTACCTAATAGTCCCCATAACTAATCTCTCTCTGCTTTCTGGTATGACTGCTGACGTAAGCTATATCGTACGGAAACTAAGTAGGTACAACGAAGATCGAATGACGGTAAAGGATTCCTCCGGAGAAGGATCATCAGTGGCTCTCATGACTCGTGATCTCCTCGGAAGCGCCGGTTGTGGAGGAGGAGTAGGAGGAGATGATCATTCTCTGGAGCTTGACCTTGACTTGCAAGTTCCCAACGGCTGGGAAAAGCGTCTTGACTTGAAGGTTCGTTTCTTAGTCACTTTAAGCGTTTTCAAATTGCAAAAGGATACGTATGAGAATTTAAAGCATTGAATGTTTTGTAGTTATTGTAATAATCAATTTGATATTTGATGGTTTTTTTATGACAGTCAGGGAAAGTGTATCTTCAACAAAGCAACTCAACTACCTCGTCTACTCATATCGTTCGTTCAGACCAATCAAACCAAACAGTTCCAAGGTTTCAAGATTTAAATTATCCACCGGTCTCAGGTAAATCTACGGCGAGACCATTGTTAAGCCTCTTCGACGCCGACACAAGTCTTGAACTGAAGCTAGTCCCTTCTTCATCATCATCGTCATCACCTTCTTCTTCTAATCTTTCTTTACCATCGTCGAGTTTTAGTTTCCAGAGTGTTTGTACACTCGACAAGGTGAAGTCAGCTCTTGAGAGGGTCGGGAAAGATTCATCCGTTATGATAAAGAAACGCAAATCGCCAGAAGACGGCGTTTGCGATGGAAACGCTACCGCAGCCGCGTCGTCTCCTGTGGCGGTTGGATGTCCAAGGTGCTTATCGTATGTCTTGGTGATGAAGGACAATCCGAAATGCCCTAGGTGTCACTCGTTTGTTCCTTTGACTGCCATGAAAAAACATAAAATTGATCTCAACATATGTATTTGATATTTTTGTATTCTAGGTTCAACTTCTGTAAATCATAGGTAAATCAAGGGTTTAATTGAAAAAAAAAAGAGAACAAAAAGAAGGGTGTTATTGAAAATTGCTTTGTTGATCTTGCTCTGAGAGGAACGATAATGTTAAATCTGATATTATTTGGTCAATTTTTTTGTTTATATATAATCTAACTGCGCTTACTTTATGTTAATTTTTGTTGTAAAACTGTACTTCTGCTTATTCCGCATCTGTAATAAACAAAAAGTTAGTATTAGTTTGTGTTTGTTTCTGTCAAAGGAATAGCTGAAAGTCATGGGTTAGAGCATCCACATCAATGAACCCCCTCTTGGGGTTCATTGATTCAATATTTTATTATTAAATTTTTTCTATTTTCTTTTTGATTTTTTTTAAAAAAAAAAAAAAAATAGACGAATCGCGGGCCACCACGTGTCGTGGGGCCCGCGCTACAGTAGTGAACCGGGTTCACTGCAGAGAACTTTTAAGGGGCAGGTTCACTACTATTCATTATTTTAATATTTTTTTTTTTTTGAAAAATGTGTGAACCCCCATCATAAACCCTTGATGGGGGTGCTCTTAGTTCAAAGTTAGTTGAAGATGTATATACGTTTAATTCTTTTTATTCATCGCAACCGATTATTAAAATCTCAAGTACACTTTTTGGTGTTAGATTAGTGATCAAGAAAACCATAAGATATACGATAATTAATACTCCGTACTACAACTACTATTTAATTAGTGTATTTTGTTTCCAACGAAGAAGTTAAGTGGAGTATGAGGCATTAAGTGTAGGCGTAACAGACGAATAAATGCGAATTTAAGTGGAAAGACGAGTCATTAAAGTTTCGCTGACCTTATTTTGCTTCATTCCATATAGGCAAAACGCTGCATGTTCATGCGGACCTATAATAAAATACATTAATTATGCCATTCAGTTTTTATTTGTTGGAGTGTCGTTTTCAAATTTCAATTTATCTTCACTGTTTTATTTATAACGTTTGTTCATGCCTCTGTATCCTCATTGAACTGCTCAAGTCTATGAGAAAACAAATAGATTTTTGGCAAAAGAGAAAGCAACAATTCTGAAAACGAAGAAGTCTATGAGAAAATATATCGCAAGAAGTTATATAGTAGCTACTTTATTACTTTGTGTACAGTGCCATTAAGAAGAGAAGTATACATTGGTTGGGTAGGGACCAAAAGTAATTATACATCTCGTATATTAACTATTTCATTTAACACATTCCTGACGGATTAGGGTGCTATACGTTTGGGTTGGTATTTGTCTTTATCAAGATATTAAAAACTCTGATGTATTTATTGAGTCAGCTGTTACACAAACTTTGGTCTAAAACCGATACATTTTTCGGAATATTAGATCACATCAATTTTCTTTTGTTAAATTGGATATTGACTTCTAATAAATGCCGAGACTAGTGTCCTTACGACCCCCTTGTTGTCTTCAGGAGAGCATCACAATTCACACAACAACCTGTTTGATCATGTTCTACCTTTGATCTTACCTGTCTTTTCATAATGCTCGTAGAAGAAAGGGTTCTTCATGTATGGGCAAAAGTTGCGTATCACATTTACATCTGCTTTATCCTGGAGTAGAGTGGGTCGCTATGTATAAGTTTATGTGATCGCTTCACCACCAGTGCTAGCTACTCGTTCGGTTTCCTCTCTAAATGAATCATAAACGAGTTGGCACTGATCGAAGCCAATAATTTCTTCTATGGGCCAGTATGGCTATACATACACTTGAGAACTTTTTATTCTTGACCATGCAGTGAGACATTGGTTAATACTTCTAACTTCATGATGCTGGTTGATAAAGAAGATAATTTGTTTAGATATTTCGGTATCAAGATTAACATATATCATACTAGGTATATATATAGGCTATCTCTTTCAAATTCAGATGATAGTAAAATCTCGTCCTCATATCTAGGTTCACCTTCTTTGCAAAAACAAACCAACACTCTTAATAGTAATAATATATTTTGTCATTTGTAACTGATTATCTTCTAGATATATACTGTTTAACAGTTATACCATGTCTTCATGACATATTTATCAAAAGAACATTAGGGCCCTGAAATTTTAGGGATCTGTGACTATGTATATGTAAATTTTCTTTTTTACAAATTTGAAAAAAGAAAAATGTTGGACTTAAATTCATGTAATTTTCTTAAAAAGAATTGGGAGTATGTGCCAAATGTTTCACTTCTCATGATTCAGGACCGTGCATCACATTCAATTTTTACATTTGATAACAGATTGTAGAGGTTATTTCCCCAGGTTTAAGGACATCAATAGCAGCAAGTTTCTTTAACTTGAGATTGTGTGCCTGAGATGAAGACATTTGGCTTAATGGTTTCTCAAGATAAGTGCAGAGTCTCTCTTCAAGGGATTATTCTCGTATTATTCATCCCTCTCATCTATTGTTACATATTTTAATATTTTTTTCAAGTGAGAAACTTAGATGAAACCATGAGGTGCTCTAAGTATAACATAATGAAGCAGACGTTCAGCTCAGCTCTTTTTGTCGATAACTTTTCTTATCACCTGGATAGTACTTTGGACAACATTGACACCTCCTCTGTTATGAACTTGTTGGTGCTTCAGTTTGTATGTATTTATAAATAATCAGTTAGTTACAACCATATATGCATATGCTATATATAAGCTCGTGTTAAATAAATTAAGTGTACATGCATACACCAGCTAGTTGATATACTGATTATAAGAATGACAGCTGTGATTTATGTTTTACTTTATGCCAACTCGTTATCAAGTTTAACCCAAGTTTCCCAACATCGTACGAAAATAAGCGACACATGTGCCATCAGATTTTGCTAACTCAACCTTACTGATTACCACGTCACTGAATCTTGCCAGTTATGTATATTTAAAATAAAAAGTGTATATCTCCATATTCCGGCAAATAGTCCAGAACCACACAATAACAAAAAAAAAAAAAAAGTCCAACACCGTGCATTTCTGATCCATGTAATCGGTCTACTATGATGCTTTCTACACTGTGTCTTATAGCGACGACCTCTGATTTGACTTTTCACTTCTCAGTTCTGAAAACAAGATGTTTTAGTTCCAACGACTTTTTAATTTTTTTTTTAATATATTGTCCATACGGGAATATTAATTCCGATAGCAACAAAGTTTAGCATTACGAATTACATAAAACATCCAAAAACATTTATATACTTTTCTGTTACAAACAGACACCTGTTGTTTCTACTCTTTCTCCTTGTCGGGGTGTCCTCGAAGGTACAACTTGCATGTACAATACCAAAACCGCTTTACTCTGGTCGCAATATTATTTTTCTTTTTTTTTTTTTCGAAAAACGCAATATTATTTTTCGCCTATAATTTATTAACAGATTTCCCAAAAAAAAAGAGATTTGCAAGCTTAATCAACAGACAAAACCTTTCAAAGCTGAATAATCTTTTACTTAATTTATCTGACACATTGTTAAATTCAATATTTCGCCGTCGAATTGCCATAACTGCATAAACTCTTACGTTTCTTGGTAAAGGATGATGATACACTTATGACTTAGGTATAATTAACCCGAAAACGTGCAACTTGAAAACTGAGTTTATTTGATTGTTAAACTAAACTATACATCAGTACATGTAACGTATGGAAGGCACGTTTCTTTCTTTTTTTCTTGTTTACTTTTTTATTTCTGCATATTTCAGTTTCAAACCGGTTTGGTTATTAATCGAAAATTCAGTTTCTCGATCACAGCTAAGACCGATGTTGACAACATTCGAATAATTAATCTAAGAAATTAATATAAGTAAAATTAAAATTTCTATATATTATTATTTACATAATCTGATCCTACTCTGTAGTTCCAGGTATCAGCTCATCGCCTGAGAGCAACGACGCCACTAGCTCTTGTATCTCCCCGGACTCGTTGACACCCAACCGGAGCGTTTCCACCACGCGCTCGAAAACGATGACGTGGCAGGGGATGTGGAGGACTCCTTTCTGAGCGTAACCGTACTCCTGAGCTGATCTGTTGAGCAGTCCAACGAAGACAGGATGGTTCAAGAGCTCAGCGCTCACCACGAACCTCTCCATCTCCTCGCCGACGTAGACTGGTACGTGACCGGCGGGGACGGTGTTGACACGTCTCGCCGGGAAAATCGACCACGGCGGTTGCATGCGGGGACGGTGGTGCCCGCGGCGGATGCGAAAGGAGGAGGAGGTGGATCGGCGGAAGGAGAATTCGGAGGATAAGTCGGCGACGCGAGAGAGGCGGCGGATGAGATGTTTCATTTTTTATTGTTTTCTCCGACCAGTTTGAAGAGCGATAAGAGAGAGAGAGAGAGTAAGAAAAACTAGAAAAGAGGGATAATATATAGAGAGAAATAGACATGGAAAGATGATGACGAAAGCATACGGTTGAGAGTACATAGGCAAGTACTTGCCAGGTACAACCCAGGAAATTTAACTAGCAGGAAACAAAATATTAAAGTATTGTTTTGTTTAGTGTTAAAGTAAACAAATCTATTAGTAATTTATTTTAAATTTAAAGCTCGATAAGTTATGAATGTCCAGAATCTTTTAACATATTTAAATAGATGAATAAAGCTGCAGAAGATTTCTAAAACATTTTAATCAAAAATAAGCAGGGTAGTTATTTTAAATTAATAGTTTGCTATGCATTTATTTTTGTTAATTGAGACTATTTTGTAAATTTTTCAAAAAAAGTCTAACTACATATATCTTCCAACACTGCTGAAAAATCAATAATATAAATAGAACAATACGTAAAAACTGAAACTAATATAAACATTAAAAGTTTTACAACCATACAAAATTACGAAAGTATATGAGCTGCACTTTTTTTTGGAGATTAGTATGAACTTTTGGAGAGTAACCATTTTCCTCGTGTTTGTTGATAGCATATATAAACTGCTGATATTTATTTTTGTGAGTTTTTAGCCTACTATTTTACTAAATAATTTTTTCATGCTTTTACAAAATTTTAAGGTCTAAGCTATGATTTCTGTAAATTAATAAACTAGTTTTACAGAAAGATTTCTAGCGTAATTTATAAATTGATTCGAAATCTATATATATAAATAGGTTTTGACTTATTGAAAATTTTGTAGACAGTTAAAATTACTTGTTACAACTATATTTGTATTAACTTCTATTTAAACTTGTAATAAAACGCTAGAACATCCACATATCAATAAGAAGCTAAATTAGTAAAAAAGATTCAAAATCAAATACTATTATTTTTAATAAAACTTACTCAAACAATATTTTCTTAAACTAAATCAATATAAGTATGTTATGTGGTTTACGAGTCTTTAACATTTTTTATAGAATCTCTCAAAGAATGTGTTACAAAAAAATTCTCAAAGAAAAAAGTTTCATTCTCTAATCTGTCATTCATTTTTACTTTTATTATTTTAAATTATTTAATGGTAAGAGACTACTAAGAAACTTCCAGTGCTGGTACATTTATATTTAGATGACAAAAGAGTCTATCCACCTTTGAACATTCTAATAATTTTACGTAATTATGTATACTAATGGCACTAATGGATAAGACATTATATTTAAGCTAATGAAACTTAAACCCACCAAGCAAAGTAGTCCATGATTTTGTTGAACAAAAAAAAACTGAGTATGACTAGCAATTTTTCTTACATCATCATCGTCAAAGGTGAAAGAAATTTGAAATATTTTGAACCCCTTATTTATGAGGTTGGTGGTTTAGTAGCCCTTCACTTAACAAATAAAATATTTTTAATGTGGGGTTTTGTGTTGTTTGAAAATAAATCGGTGAATAGATTATAGATGGCTGGTTCAAATCTACGCGGATAGTTTATGTTCAACGTTCTTTAATATTTTACAGATTGACCGAAATGTCAAAGAGAATAGTACAGAATTGAAATTTGGTTCTAGAAAATATAGCTTTTCGTTTCTACCGATTATTTGAAATGTTAGGATTTTTTTTTCCTATAAACATGTTTATATTCTTTTTATTTTATACTTTGTTTGGCCGACAAAATTCATTGTTCCTCAACATTTCATACATGTATTGTTCGTTTGGATAAACAATACAAATTCTTGTCTGGTAAACGTTATTCGCATGTATCAAACATACAACTTCCTCTTAAGAAAAATAACTCAAAAGAGTTATAATTATATATAAAACATGGAGGTGTAAACCAAACATTTATATATGAAAAAGAACAACATCCAAATTGGGAGTCCTAGACAAGTTGTTCACGACACTCTTGTCCCTTTGCGTTCTGCTTTGTTCTCTAATTACATTAACTAAACGGCATGTTTACAGAGAAAAACAAAACAAACCGAAAGTACATGTTTAATATTTCTATTAGCTATATATATTTGTCATTGCGAATTTTCAAATATTAATATATTGTTTATATACACACAAAATAGTCGACTTCTCAAGTCGATGGGTTCAATCGAAAGAGCGAAATGGAAAAGACAAGTTTATTAAAAATCAAATTCAAATAAAATAAATTTCTGTTATTTATATGACGTGTCATTAAAGGTATTAAAGAGTGGCAGGTGAGTTTGGGTTGTACGGTCATTTATAAATACAGAGTGTGACCCACCAACTCTCTTCCTGTCCTTCTTTCTCTTACCTCCGTACGGACTTCGGTGCAATCTCGTATGCATAAAATTATTATCAAGCGACAAATATCTTAAAATCTGACTTTAATTTTCTTTTCAGAATTAATAACAAACACGCAAAGCCTTGTCGGTTCGGCCAGGTTTAATTTGATTTAATTGGGCCTACACAGAGATTAAGGGCCCAATATATTTAAACCAGGCCGTCGTTTCCGTGTTCGCTTATATTGTATAGTTTTTTTTTGTCAAATGTTTTAGCTAGTTTACATAGTCAAAGATAATATAACTTTTTTTGGGGTCAAAGGATGATATAAATTTGAGTTTCAAATAGTATTATACAAATATTATTATTGCCAACTAACAAAAAATGTGGTAATCCTGTTTCTGTTAGGACATCAATGGTGTACCGAAATTTTACGGCTAGTTTTTTAAAAGTGCTACGTGGGAAAGAAATTGACCGTATTTTTTAAACGTTTCTATACAGAATCGAGCTTGTTGGCTTTATCGGGCATTGATTAGTTTGTATCTTAGCATTTATGTTATTGTATCTGACGGTCATGGACTAATAAATGTGAATACTATACAAAGTCACATTATCAAATCGAGTTAAATCATTTTCGTCCTAACTCTAAGCTAAATTAGCTAATGCAGTTAAAAGCTGAATTAACAAACGATGGCATAACTATTAACATCAAAAATCTCACATTAGAAAATTGAAAAAACATCTAAATATTATATATGTAGAACAATTTATTTATCACCGATTGATTTTGGGTCGAGTAGAAGCTCAAACGAAACTTATGGATCGTTTATAGATATAATTACAAAAAAATTGAAACCATGACATCAAAACATTCTTTGGGTGATCATTACCACCAAGCTACAAAGGGAAAATGATATTAAAAGCTGATAATTAGGTAATATTACTGTGGGTCGGAAGTCCAAACTTGTAAAGCTTGATATCATGGTAAGTATTGACCGGATCCACATTAATATGGTCCAAAATCATTCCATTGATCCTTGTCCAAATATGAATATTTCGAGATGAATTCAAAAATGTATATTAGGGATAAAAGTTCCACATCAAAAATTATAATGAATTTTAAATAATGTATAAGATAAATAGGACAGTTCATTATCACTAATTTGGTTTAGGTTAAAAGTCTATATAACTTAACAATACTACTGAAAGATTATAATATAAGAATGAATTGAAGAAATCAAAAATAGTATCATGTTATTATATATACAAGTACATAAACAACACACGACGAACTTAAAAACATGTTTTCGAAAGAAAAAAACAAACAACTAGAAAACATTATCAGCAATCTCTTGGATCATAGATCCTAAGAAAACACCAGAGAAAGTTACATTAAACTCTTCCTGAACTTGTTGGGTATCAGCAACAGCCAAAAACGATGTCGTGCTAGAACTGCCGACGTGATCCATAACTGAGATATCATGGAAAATATAAAAGAATCTAAGAAAAACAAAGATAATCAGAGCAAGGAGATAACATAACCGAGACGCGTTGAAGAACAAGTGATAAGCTGCAACTTGGAGACAATACATTTTTTTCTTTGGGAGTCTATTTCGAGTAGCAAAAGATAACTAACCAGAAGATGGTGATGTTTTTTTCTTTGAATCAAGATGTGTATATATATACTACACATGTGTGTATGTAATTATATCTACGTGTATCTATGTATACGCACACAAACATACTCGAAGGAAACCACTCTGGTCCGAACATGCAGTGAATGCTAAAAGCATTGTGGACCAACACGATAGCTGCTAGACAAACCGGTTATACCCATTTTTAATTTGGATACTAATCTTCTACAACCTGAAAACAAACAAAAATCTTAACTGATAAACTATATCTATATAGAGACCTTGGTTCCCTGAGTTACCAGCTATACTAATCAATACTTGTGCCTGATCGGTTTGGTTATTGGTATAACAGTCCGGTTTAGTATATTAGTATACAGTCCGGTTTGGTTACTATACCAAACGATACAAACGAAGTGGAGGAAATTAATAGGGTTTATGATTGTGAGTATCACCACACGACAAGATAGATCAATCTGACATCTTTGTTCTGATTAATTATATAATCGTATAAACAATCAATGCAAACCGGAAAAACGGTTATGTGTTTTGTACATTTAAGGAAATTGGACATACGTAGATACGGAATTAATATGTACTAGATTTTGACCCGCGCTTAAAAGCGCGGGATTAATATTTGATTAATTATTTATTGTAAATAATGAACATTAAAAGGTTAATAATTATAGATCAAACAAATTTATGTAGTTATGTTAAATTAAGTTATATAGTTTAGTTTTGCTGTTTTAATTCTTTTTAAGGATTTCAGATAATTTTGCGTGTCAGTATAATTTTATTTATTTAATTTGTTTGTTTAACTTATTTCACCCTGATTTTTATTTCTAGTGGTTTAATTGAGATTATAATGGTGTATATATTTAATTTGTTTGTTTAGATTATTTCACCCTGATTTTATTTTAGTGGTTTAATTTAAAATAAATATATTATTTAACATGTTTTGTATTGATGAAATTCATTTTATGTTTTTAAACTTTTAAAAAATTTCTATATATATATATATATATATATATATAATTTCATCTTGTTATTTAAAATTGAACTAAGTTTTTGAGGACTCACAAATTCTAACTTGCTTTATATTTTTTTTGTTTAACCTATTTGTTTTTAATTTTTTTATATCGTGATTTTATTTTTATTGGTTTAATGAAAATAAATTTTTTTACCTTTTTAATCTGGTTTGCATTGATAAAAATAAATTTTAAGTTCCAGTTTTTTTAACATACTTTATGTTATAATTATTTTATAAAATTGACTTTTTCTTTTAAATTGGAATTATTATTTATAAAGATATAATATAATTGTTGAGCAATAGTTGTTACAAAGTGCGTAAATACATAATAACTATACTTTTTTTATTAAGGATCTTCAGTTACTATAATGTGGGCTATATATTGGATCAATAATATTGAAGTTACAACCTATAAATTATTAAAAGTTTAATTCATATTATGTTCTTGTCGCTTAGTTATAATATTGATTCATTTTAAGTCATATTCTAGTGTGATACACTCAACGTTAGTTTGATAAAGTCGTCATATTGTATTTCACATGTTTGAGTTTCACATAGATGGGTAGAAACACACAACATAACATTTTTTCTAATATAATTATAAACGAAAGTAAAAATCTATAAGGAGACGTGTGTTTTTATGTAATGGTAAAATAATTTATGTATTATTTAGAAACTAAAAAAGGATGAAAAAAATATGACAAACGGTAGTGAGATTTATTAGGAATCGTGTGTTTTCATTTAGTGATATAATTAATTATGCATTAATTAACAAATATATANAGTGAGATTTATTAGGAATCGTGTGTTTTCATTTAGTGATATAATTAATTATGCATTAATTAACAAATATATAGGATCAGTTATACTATTTAGTTATATTTAATAGGTAACACTAATAGGTAACACTAACAAATGAATAGGTCCAAACAACTTTTATTAGTAGATTTTTTTAAACTCCTTCTCTTTTAATAGTATTGATTTATACTTTTATAGACGTGTCTGGCGATTCAGCTCAACTGCATAGATTGTGACATCTCAACTTGTAACCAGAAAATGCGAAACCTTTAATTATTGCAATATAACAATTATTATATATATATTTATTCTCAAATAGGCCAATATGGAATATTTTAATAACACATAATAAATGCAAGCTCAAGTCACTATTTGTCAAATTTGTAAGTTCAAAATGTAGGACCAAAACCACATTAACATTATTTCCCCCTTTGTTGTATATAAAAACTATACAACTTCTGTTAACTATGTTTTTAATAAAAGCTTCATCTCATTATCCCATTGTGTGGTTCCGTTACTTCTGTATGCTTGATTTTGGTTCATCGCTATTCGCTAGTATTGGCTAGTTTATGTTAGTTGAGAATGTTCAAAGAGTTGTAGAACGGTGAATAGCTTTCATCGTGGTGACTCTTCACAATGATTCTGTCTCATAATGAATGTTGTCTTATGATGAGATATCTATCTCTTCAACCAAGCAGATGAAAGAACCAATGTACACTCAATTAACTATTCTTACAGTGGATCTGCTGACATGAACAATCAATTGTTGAAGGTAACACTGAATCAACTTTATGTAGTAACCTTCTAGTGCTATGCTGCTACTAAGACAACAATCTGATACCCTCCAAGTCAGAAATCATCAGCTGCAAATTCTCCATCTTATCTTAGAAATCATATAACATGTTCTCATTGTTTTTTTTTTTTTTTTGCTTAAAAACATGTACTCATTGTTAAACCTCAAGCATATGATTCTCATAGATACAAAAAATAAAACTATTTTCCAGCACGTACAATTCAGATGGACGGTAAAAGGAGTTTAACATCAGCCAGATTTTTTATTCTTTTGATAAGACATTAGCCACAGTTTCAAATTGTTGGTTTCTTTGTTATTTCCATTCTTTAGGAGCCAATTATCTTATGAACAATTCAGTGCCTTCTTAGCTAACATCAAGGACCTCAACGTTCAGAAGCAAATTCGAGTGGTTAAAAAAGTGATTGGTGTGCCTTTAATTTCTCTGTATGTCAAAGATTACACAAAATGTTAACGATTGTGACAGATAACCATTGTAGTCTGTGTTTCTAGTGACATGGGAAAGTTAATTTTTCACAAGAGAAAATGGAATATCTCTCGCTTTGTAATATCTTTTTTTTTTTTTTTTTTTTTTTAAAAGGGATATCATTTCTGATTCATGAATTTGAAAGTTTTACAATCTCTGATCATATGAGAGCAATAGAAATACATATAAACTTCTCTGAAACACATGTGAAACATATTGTTGATCTTCCTACACTTGGAACCTTCCGAACCAAAGTGAGAGATATGTGGTTTGTTGGTGACGTGAGATTGTAGTTGAGGCCTCCATGTCTAGGGAGTAAAGCTTCGCTCGTAGCTGAAGTGAGATGTCTTTGATAATAACCGAGTGAGGCCTTGAGACGTGAGAATGAAGCCTTGAGTTCCTTTCCTTCCAAAGATGATATATGGCTGCTTGAAAAGTTAAAATCAATACTGATCCCAACCTGTTTTGATTTTGGGTGGTAATCCAAGAGACCAGTTCATGAAGCCTATAAGGGATAGAGAGCCCCGCTCTCGCTGTTAAACTCTGCCATACTTGTCGAGCGTAGTCACATTCGAAGAATAAATGTTCTGAAGATTCATTTGCATTACCGCATAGAAGACAAAGAGGAGAGACAGCCATACCCCAAGATATCAACCTGTCTCTTGTCATCATTCTATCACGGAGAACAAGCCATGTAATGAAAGAGTGCTTCGGGATTCGTTTCTTTGGCCAGACGGCCTTAAACCAGCTGACATGAGGAGGATCCGGGTTCAAGTTGGTCCAAAGGGTGGAGACTGAAAACTCTGTAGGCTCGCCATTTTGTGGGTTCCTCCAGAAATAATAATCGTCTTCAGCAGAAGAAATGTCTGGTGTATCTCTATCAAGGATTTCTCTCATGACACGCAGAATGGGGTGCCTGCTTCTAGTCGATACAATCCAAACTCCATTTCTGACTACAGAAGAGACAGTGGAACCAATAGGTATACCTGAAACCAAAGGTCCAAGAGGACCAGTAGTGTTTATAATTGGTCCATGGTTTGTCCAATCATCATGCCAGAAAGATGCCACCCTCCCGGAGATGACTTGACATTGAATGTAAGGTCTGGCTGTTTCTCTCAGCTTCATTAACCAACGCCAAATCCAACTTCCCATATTAGAGTAATCCGTGATCCAAAAAAGATTATCCTGAATGTAATGCGCCTTGACCCAGGCAACCCACAGCGAGTCGGAGCCAGAGAAAATGTTCCATAGTAGCTTGATACCAAAGACAGTATTTAAACCTTGAAGCCTTCGGAGGCCTAAACCTCCACATTCTTTCGGGGTGCAAACTGATTCCCAAGACACTTTCGCTCCTCTTGCAGAGTCAGGTGCACCAGACCAGAGGAAAGCATTTAGAATTTGTTCTAGGGTGTTAAGACAGCACTGTGGTAAAGGAAAGGCGGCTGCCCAGAACCGAATAATGTTGTAGAGGACATATTGGATAAGCTCTAGCCGCCCTGCGAAAGAGAGATGTCTTGCTGTCCAAGAAGAGACTCTAGATCGAATCTTGTCTACAAGAGGCTGGTAATCTTGTCGTCTTAGCTTGTGAGGCAGGAGTGGTAATCCCAGGTACTTGACAGGTAATGAGCCTTGTGATATTCCAAAACTGGCCGCCAAGGAAGCAGATGCCACACGATCATTTCCATTAACAAACACACACGTTTTCCTAATGTTTAGCGCCAGTCCAGAGCTCCTCTGAAAGGCTCTTAAAACCGAGATAATGCCACTTAGAGACTCCGAGGTTCCATCAAAAAATATTAATATATCGTCAGCGAAACTTAGATGAGTGACCAACGGTTCCAAGCAATCTGGATGAGCACCAAACTTTCCTTCGTGGAGAGCAATATCTAACTCCTTAGAGAGGATATCCATAGCCAGGATAAAAAGAGCAGAGGAAATTGGATCTCCTTGTCTTAGTCCTTTTTTGCCAGGGAAATAGCCAACTAGCTCTCCATTTAAAGCCACTGAATAAGAAGGGGAAGTGATGCAAGCTTTTATCCAGTCTATAAAGAGTGGAGGAAGATCGTATGCAGACAAAATGTTGAGGATAAAGTCCCACTCAATACTATCGAAGGCTTTTGTTATGTCAACCTGCAGACATCCTCTTGTTATATTGCCCGATTTGTGAAAGTCAGCCACGAGCTCAGCTGCAAGAAGAACATTGTCGCTTAGAACTCTCCCTTCCACAAACCCCACTTGATTTCTTTGTACTGCTTCCCTCGTAATTGTTTTTAGCCGAGAGGCCAAAATTTTTGATATGACCTTGTACACAGTATTGCAAAGAGAGACAGGGCGGAAATCTGTAAGAGCAGAAGCTGCTGGGAATTTTGGAATCAGGGAAATCACTGTTGCATTAGTCTGACGGGGAATAGAGGAAGTTATAAAAAAACTCTTGACAGCATTGGTTAGATCGTTCCCAACCAATTCCCAAGATGAAGTGAAGAACTCAGAAGAGAATCCATCTGGCCCTGGCGCCTTGCATTTAGGTAGCGCAAACATGATATCTCTTATTTCCTCAGCACTAGGAATGGCAATCAGATTCGCAGCATCAGAAGAGGGCAGTCGGAAAGGGTGTATTAATTTGATATAGTCGGTGCAGTACGGGGTTACAGCCGCATTAGAACGCCCTTGAAGATAAGAGTAGAACTGAATGACCATATCCTTCATTTCTTGGCAATCAAAAATCCTTCTACCATTCGCGTCAGTCAAAAAGTAGACCACATTTCGAGCCAGATTTGCCTTAACTGACTTATGGAAAAAACCAGTATTGAAATCCCCTTTTGAGGTCCATCTAACCCGAGATTTCAGTTGAAAGAAGTTCTGTTCAGCAGCGGCTAGATGTATCCACACATCTCTAGCAAAAGCTTCATCTCTGAAAAGTTGTTGTGTAGGGGTCGTAAGGACTTGGTTCTGTATGTCCTGAAGGTTCTCAAAAGCTTCCTTAGTTCGCTTTTCTATATTACTGAAACCGGATCTGTTAATACTCTTGCAGCAAACCTTAGCCGATCTCAGTTTCTGGTAAAGTGCAATCATAGGAGAAGAGGAGATGACAGGATCTGTCCAAGCTCTTTCCATTAGAATTTTATAGTCAGGGTGCGTTGTGAAAAATGTGAAGAAGGTGAACCTTGTCCTCCTTCCAACAGGTTCATTTTTTATTGTGACTAAGCAAGGGGAGTGATCTGAAGAACCAGGGGTGTCAAACAGAGCTAATGAATCTGGGTATTTTTCAAGCCAAGCCTCGTTAATAAGAGCTCTATCCAATTTCCTCGACCTTGGACTTGTTGGGCACTTGTTAGACCATGTGAAGAACCAACCCCTATACGAAAGATCAAACAACTCACTACCATCCAAACACTCCTGAAAATCAGCCATACCCCCAACAGAAAGTGGTGCAGGATATAATGAGTAAGCTTCGCTAGCCGTCAGAATCTGGTTGAAATCTCCCAAGACAAGCCATGGAGAATTTTGCATTATGGAGGATTGAGCTACCTGGTGAATAGAGTTCCACAGGGGAACACGGTGACTACGCTCATTGTAAGCATAGACAAAACAAACAGTGAAGTAATCTTGTGAGGAAGGATCGAAAACGCCGCATACCATTATCTGGGGCGAGCTAAAATAGACAACCACTATAAGAGCTGGATTCCAAATCAGCACAATTCTACCATTCTCTGCTGCGGATGCATGATTTGATGCGTAACGCCATCCCGGGAAGTGAGAAGAAATCAGGCCAGACAAAACATCTTGTTTCACATGTGTTTCCAAAAAAGCACCAATCATAGGACGATTGATACGAATCCACTTTTTAACATCAGATTTTCTAATATCGCCATTAAGGCCTCTAATATTCCAGCAAAAACACTTCATAAGAAGGACAAAAAGGTGTAGTCGAAGCACTTAGGCTTCCAAAAGATGTGGAGACTCCCTAGGGAGAGAGGACTCCACAGAGAGCACTAGAGGAATATTTGGAGCTGGCTTAACCCGCGGCAGAGATGGAGGCTCTGGCTCGCCTTGGCAAAGCTTGTACATAGCTTGACGTTGTTTCTTTCTCAACATCTTCCTATCCTTTTCTGGAGTAAAAGGTGGAAGTTCAGCCTCTGCCTCTGCAAAACGGTTTCGGATAATCTTTTCAGCCGCACTGATGAGTTCTTCTTCAGAATCAAACTGAGACGAAGTAACTGGCCTGACAGGGGAAGAAAGAGGAGGAGAATTTCCTTTCTGCTTCGGAGGAGATGAGCGATCAACAACTGGGATCCATTCTAAGTGTCCACTAGAAGAGCGAGAGACAGCTGAGCTAGATCGAGAGTTTGGAAGACTCAAGGTTCTTCTGATGTTAGATCCACCACTCTGAACCGAAGGGGAAACAAGTCCATTAGAAGTCCCTTTCTCAGATATTTTGATAGAAGATCCTGATGGATGAGAGGAGTCTCTTAAGATTGCCATATTGTTTGAGATAGCTGGAGACTTTGCCGCCGGATCAGTATCCACACGAGTTGGAGTATCCTGCGGGGTAAAAGTAGCCTTGGCAGAGGATAGTCTCTCAGGGCATCGCAACTCAGAATGGCCAAATTACGAACAAGTTCCGCATTTATGAGGAAGATTTAGATACTCTGCGGCAATGAAAACTGAGTTTCTCATCTTGTCAACAACCTTAACGGAAGGAGCTTTTTTTGCTGCCAGTTTAATGACAACTTTTAGCTTAACCACTCCGTTGGAATAAGGTTTGAGTATCGGAACTTCCGACTGGACAGGAAAACCAACACCAGAAGCAATAGTGCTAAAACCTTCTAGAGACCATAGCTCCGGCGGGACATTCCGGAAGAGAACCCAAACTGGAGCGTATTCCAGCTTCACCGGAGAAATATTAATTCCTGGAGTCCATTCAAAGACCGAGAAAGCACACTTTCCTGAGTGCCAGAACCCAACATCCAGCACCCACTTTCTAGTGATCTCACAGGGAATGAGAATGAGGCAAACATTTTTTGAATGATATCTGACACGAATCCTTCCAAGTTTCCCCCAAATTGGGTTAAGGTCAGCGAAGATCTTTGTAGGGGAAGGAGCAGTTCCATGAAATTGAGCGACTAAGTAGCCCTTCCAGGAGATTGAAGATTTGAAAACAACGGAATCAGGAGCTTGGACAATAGGAATTCCATTCTCAGAAAAAGATGGAGAAGCCATCTTTTTTAGGTTATGAGCTGTCGACTTTAACTTGGAGACCCACAGAGCCGGGGAAGGCGAAGAAGAAGGGCCAGCTAAAGTCGCATCAAGAGAAGGCGGAGCGGCGAGCGTTGACGAAATTTGAGCAGTGGAAGCGACCGAAGGAGCGGCCGGATCTGAATAGCGTGTTCCCTCCCCAGACTCTAGCACCATAGGAACCTCAGGATGAAGAAAGGGTCGAGAGTTACAAGAAGACTGTAACGAGAAAGGATCTGAGTCTCGTAAGACAAGACATAGATCTGGAGGCCAAGGGGGGTCCGACAGATCTGGACGAGGAGAAGGAGCAGAAGCCATGGAGACTTGGAGGAGGAGAGAGTTCTCAGCAACGGCAAGTGGCACCGTCACCGGCGGCAAAAGAGGAAGAAAACTCTATCGCCTTATCGCCAGAGATAGCACTTTGTTTTTTTCACACAAGCAAATTTTTTTTTTTTTTTTTTTTTTTTTTTTTTTTTTTTTTTTTTTTTTTTTT